GGGAAATTGGTTTGTTATTCTCTTTCTTTGTGGCCTCATAAAATGAACTGGGCAATGTTCCTTCTGTTTCTATTTTGTGCAATAATTTGAAGATATTGGCATGAACTCTTTGAAATTCTGGTAGAATTCTGCACTAAAGCCACCTGGCTTTGGCCTTCTTTGGGTTGGGAGATTTTTTTTTTTTATTACTGCTTCTATTTCACTAGGGCTTACAGATCTGTTTAAATTGCTTATCTGATCTTACTTTAAATTTGTAAGTGTCATATATTGAAAAAATTACCCATCCCTTTTAGATTTTCCAATTAAGGAATATAGGTTCCTGAAAGATATCCTTAGGATTCTCTATATTTCTTCAACGTTTGTTGTTATGGCCACCTTTTCATTTGTAAGTTTGTTAATTTGGATATTCTCTTTCTACCTTTAGTTAATTTTGATAAGGGTTTGTCAATCTTACTGATTTTTTCCCCAAAGAACCAACTCATTATTTCACTGATTCTTCATATTGTTTTTGTTTGTTTGTTACAATTTTATTGATTTTAGCCTTGATGGTTATATCTTGCCATCTACTCCTTGCAAGTGTGATTTCTTCTTTTTGCTCTAGAGTTTTCATATGTGCTATTGAGTTCCTACAATGAGATTGCTCCAATTTTTAAGTATGCATTTAGTTCTATGAACTTGCCTCTTAGATCTGCCTTCATTTTGTCCTATAAGTTTAGTTTTGTTGTGTATCTTTATCACGTATTATGTGTACATTTTCACATGTATTATGTGTTCATTTTCATCTGTTGTTGGGTTTCTTTAACTCTTTTTTTTTTTGACTCTTTGCTCTTTTGAAGGCCTGCCACCCAGCTCCCAAATAAATCACACACAGAGGCTTATTCTTACTTACAAATGTCCAGCCTTAGCTTGTCTTATTTCTAGCCAGCCTTTCTTAAATTATCCCATCTACCTTTTGCCTCATGTCTTTTATCTTTCTATTTCTGTATACCTTTCATTACTTCTTTCTTCATGGCTTGCTATGTAGCTGGGTAGCTGGTCCCTAGAGTCTTCCTCTCCTCCTTTTTCTGCTCTTTCATCTTTTCAGATTTCTCCTCCCATTTATTCTCTCTGCCTGTCAGCCCCACCTATCTCTATCTCCTGCCTAGCTACTGGCCATTCAGCTCTTTATTAGAACAATCAGGTGTTTTAGACAGGTGAAGTAACACAACTTCACAGAGTTAAACAAATGCAACATAAAAGAATGCAGCACATCTGTGCATTGTTAAAACCAATGCTCCACAGCATAAACAAATGTAACACATCTAAAAGTAATATTGTACAACAAACAACAAATTCTAGAAAGTCTTTCTTTAGCTTCTTGCTTTAATTTCTGTCTTGACCCATTTTTCATTCAGTAGTGAATTGTTCAGTTTCCTCGAGTCTTTAAGCTTTCTGTTGTTGTTGAAATCCAGCTTTAATCTGTGGTGGTCTGATAGGATGTAGGGTATTATTTAGATTTACTTGTATCTGTTGAGACTTGCTTTGTGTTCAGGTATGTAGTCAATTTTGGAGAAGAGGGTATATTTGGGGAAGAAGGTATATTTTTTTGTGTTTGAGTAAAATATTCTGAAACTATCTGTTTGGTCCATTTGGTTTATTTTTTTAAATATATAGGATTTTTTAATTTTATTTATTTATTACTTATACAGTATTCTGTCTGCATGTATGATTGCACACCAGAAGAGGGCAGCAAGTCTCATTGCAGATGGTTGTGAGCCACCATGTGGTTGCTGAGAATTGAACTCAGGACCTCTGGAAGAGCAGTCAGTGCTCTTAACCTCTGAGCCATCTTTCCAGGCCGGTCCATTTGGTTTATAATGTCAGTTAACAACATCATTTCTTTGTTTATCTTTTGTCTGGATAACTGGCCTATTGTCAAGAGTGGGTTCTTGAAGTCTCACACTATCAGTGTATGAGGGTCAATATGTGATTTAAGCTGTAGTTGTATTTTTGTTGTTGTTGTTTTTCAAGACAGGTTTTCTCTGTAGCTTTTGGAGGCTGTCCTGAAACTAGCTCTTGTAGACCAGGCTAGTCTTGAACTCACAGAGATCCGCCTGCCTCTGCCTTCCAAGTGCTGGGATTAAAGGCGTGTGCCACCACTGCCTGGCTTAACTTTTTATTTAAGATTTACCTGTTTTCCTGGCCAGAGTGCCTAATTTTGTATAGAAAGGAATTATCACTTAGCCAGGTGGTGATGGCACATGCCTTTAATCGTGGCATTAGGGAGGCAGAGGCAGTTGGATCTCTCTGAGTTTGAGGCCAGCCTGGTCTACTGAGTTCCAAGACACCCTCCAAAGCTACAGAGAAACACTATCTCAAAAATCAGAGAGAGAGAGAGAGAGAGAGAGAGAGAGAGAGAGAGAGAGAGAGAGAGAATAGTTACCTCTTAACAACAGAACAGCACCAAAATGCAACAGCACTTTGAGTCCAGCTTATGAATAAGGAAGAGCTTAATTCTCAGGGTCAGATATGGTGGCTCAAATCTTTAATCCCAGTACTGTGAATTCCAGGCCAGCCTTATATGGAGACATAGTGAGTTTTATGACAGCCAGGGCTATGCAAAGAGACCCAGTCTCAAAAACAAAACAAAACAAAACAAAACTTAGGACTTTCAAACTGAAAAATACCAGGCACAGAACAGACAACATGGTAGCCCCAGTGGTCACTTCTCCCTCTGTGAGGCCCCACAGCTTTAGCAGCCAGTGGGCTTGTCTGCCAATGCATCCATTACTCCAAATGTACTAGGACTGATCCACCTCCTCACAGACCCTCAAGATCCCCAGCTTTTCTTGTATCTCTATCATCCCATGGCTTCATACAAAATAGGTTCATCTAATGAAATATGTCTGCTAGAAATGTGCAGTCACATGTGCTGAAGAAGGGTAGAGATACACCTAGGGCCATGTCCACAAAATCCCCTCAATGCGATGGTTCTCTAGCAGCTGGCTAATCTCCTTCTTAATCTCCTGCTCTGTCACCCAGCGCAGCCTCTGTGGCCTGACAGCAAAGCACAGCCGCCAGAGGCCACTACAGACCTACCCTGCCAGTCACCCCCCTCACCCCTGGTGCCACCTGTGTACCTGCTGTCTTCCCAAATAACACTTTTCTACCATAAATATACATTGCCAGAGCCAAGGACAGTGGCACATGCTTGTAATCTCAGCACTTGTGAGAGAGATGCAAGAGGCTCAGAGTTCAAGGTGATCCTTGACTATATGAGCAAACAAAAATATACATATGTTTCCCCATTTGGCATAACTTGTATAATCACAAAAGAAAATGGTATTTTAAAAATAGATAGAGGATGGAGCTAGAGATGTAGCTCTTAGTAAAGTGTTTTCCCAGCATGCATGAGATCCTAGGATCAATCCCAGATCCTAGTGGAGGCAGAAGGATCCAGAGTTCAGAGGCATCCTTGGCTACATAGTGAGTTGATGGCCAGTCCAAGATTCTGCTTCAAAACCAAAAATCAACATGACCTAGAGTAGTTAGTGGAGTAGGGGACATGGGTTTCTTGGATAATTTCAGTAAGGTACACTGCTTCCTTAGCTATACAGTGGGGATTTTCTATGTAGGAAAACTATATTTGAGGATACCTTTGTACCCGAAGGACCTGAGATGGTGGTAGTTTCTCTCTACTAAAATTGCAGCAGCAGGCCTGAGACCTAAGAGTTTGTAAAAGCCTTAGGTGTATTTGCTCTTTACAGAGGCAACCTTGCTGTCCAGAGCACTCAGCTATGTCTTTCTGTTTTGCAAGCTCATCCCAACATTGAAAAGCTGTTTCTGCACTGAAGGATTCAGTGTATTTAGGCTGCTTTATTACTAAAAACTTATAGCACATACCTAGTTCTGCAGTTTTATAATTATTTTTAACTATTCTTACAATTTCTTTTTTTTTATTTAGGGAGCTTAAGGTTTTTTTCAGGGTTCAGCACTTAAGAACATTGGTTACTCTTCCAAAAGACCCCAGTTCAAGTCCCAGCACCTACAGGGCAACTAACAATTGTCTGTAATGCTGAAGGTAAAAGGAGAAGCATGATTAGGGTACTAATCCATTGCTCTCTGATCACTGACTCAGAAGAAAATGCAATTTAAAGACTCAGCTCCAGTCACAGCCCATTGGCATTTGTGTTGCCAGGCAACATGAGCTCCAGTATTCTAATTACCATACATCCTCCTGAGGAACCTACTTGACTCCATTTTGAAGGCAGGAGCCATTATGCTGTATTTTTTTCCAAAGATTTTATTTATTTATTATGTATACAAAATTCTGCTTCCATGTATATCTGCACACTAGAAAAGAGCACCAGATCTCATAACAGATGGTTGTGAGCCACCATGTGGTTGCTGGGAATTGAACTCAGGACCTCTGGAAGAGCAGCCGGTGCTCTTAACCTCTGAGCCATCTCTCCAGCCCTATGCTGTATTTTTTAAAAAAAAACTTTATTTAACTTTATTTTATGTGCACTGGTGTAAGGATACCAGATCCTCTGGAACTGGAGTTACAGACAGGTGTGAGCTGCCATGTGGGTGCTGGGAATAGAACCCGGGTCCTCTTGAAGAGCAGCCACCACTCTTAACCACTGAGCCATCTCTCCAGCACTGTGCTGTATTTTTAAAAATAAGTTTCTCACTGAAAGATTCAGGCAGATACCTAGACCTGTTCTGATACAAAAGCAAAGTCTTTAATTATTTAATGAGTTAACTGTCCTTCTGTCCATCTGACACAGAGGGTGGAGTAAGAAGGACCTGAAGGGACCTCGAGGCAAGGAATTTATTGGTTAGAGCAAGGGAGTGTCAAAGGGTCTGCAACAGTCTCAGGATTGGAGCACTTCCAGGCTTGGGTGATCTGTCCTGTGTTGATTGGTTAACTTGTTGCTACAGCCTATAGGCCTTCCCAGGGTGGCTGCTATGCTCTGTACACCACTGTAAAGCACATCCAGAGCCTGCCAGCTAACTTCTGATTGGTTCCTTGCCACATGGAGGGTGTCTGACTTCCTAGTGACCAGGAGGTTGGGCAAGATCAGGAAGCTCAGACACATTTTGCTGTGTCAGAGGACTACATCTTGCTTGGTCTGTCATGGCTACCAAAGCAGGGTACTGGGTAAGGGTCTGGTCCCCTCCCTCCCTCCCTCCCTCCCTCACTCCCTCCCTCCGTCCCTCCTTCCCTTCTTCCCTTCCTTCCTTCCCTCCTCCCTCCCTCCCTTAGATTTCTGAGGCAGTACAAAGAAGCTGTAGTCTGATTTCATCAGGGTAGACTGTTTATTTTAACCCCATCCGAGTGAAGGGGTCTGCAAGGAGGAGATGGGATATTTGGAATGTATATAGAGGCTTGGGGATGAGGAAGTTAAATGCAGTTTCGGAAGGCCACTAGTGAGTCTGTAGTCTGTCCTTCCTGGTATTGTCTGCTCAGTCAAAGACTATCTTCCTGGATAGGTTGTTTCAGCAAAACACTTCCTTTCAGGCATGATAATGGCTTGACCATGGCCAGTTGTAACCTCACAGAAATGCTGTTTTTATAACTGAGGCACCTATCAATCTCACTATGTAGCTCTGGTTGTCTTTGAGCTTTCTGGATAGCCCAAGCTAACTCTGAGCTCATGATTCTTCTGCCTCAGGCCTTCTTCCTGTGTGCTGAGACTACATGGGTGCAATACCCTACTCAGTGGGAGGCATTTTCTGCCTAGGAAACCAGCTGTGGTGATTTGAAGGAGAATGGTCCCCGTAGGCTAATATCTGAGTCTTTGGTACCCAGTTAGCAGAACTGTTTGACAAAGATTAGGAGGTATGGCCTCACTGAAGGAGACGTGACATTGTTAGAGGAAATGTGCACTGGGGCTGGGCTTTGAAGTTTCAAAAGCCCATGCCATGCTCTTTCTCTCTCTCTCTGCCTGCCTGCTGCCTTTGGGCAAGATGTAAAGTTCTCAGCTACTGCCCCAGTCTCATGTCTGTCTGCTTTCCAGCCATGATGGTCATGGACTATGTCTCTGAAAATTTAAGCAAGACCCCAAATTAAATGCTTTCTTTTATGAGAGTTACTTTGGTCATGGTGTCTCTTCACAGCAACTAAGATACCAACCAAACTGTCTTTTGGTCTTCTGAGGGGAAGCTGGGATATAGGTTAGGTGAGGGATCAAGGAAGCAAGGGCTCAGCCCTTTTCACATGCTTCAAGAGGATCCAATACCCTCTTCTGGACTCTGTGGGCACCTACCCTCATGTGCACATACCCCCCACCCCGCCTCACACACTCTCACACACACACACAGACGCACGCACGCACACACGTGTGCACTATTTTAAAACTTTTAAAGACATATTTATTTTCTTTTGTGTGTTTGAATGTTTGCCTGCATGTATTTATGTGCACCACACTTGTGCCTCCTGCCTTCAGAGGTCAGAAGACGGCAGCGGATGTGAGAGCTAAAGTTACATTTTCAGTTTTAATTACTATGCCTAAGAGATCCATGAAACAAAAATGCCTCTGATCTGCAAGCCCCTTGCCCAAGGACGATAGTTCCTGAAATGCTGTAGGCTATTGTTTATGAGAGATAACAAGCCACATGTTTTTCACTCCCCTAAACAAGTTTGTTTGACCCATCTGAACCAGGTGTACTTGATCCCATGTGGGTAGGAGGTCACAGGCCAGAAGTACATCAGGATGTATGTTTGCCCCTGATTGGAAATACAATGAATTACGTGTTATCCTTCTTAAGCTCTTACTATACTTGATTCTGGGCCATTTCCCAGGAACCTGGGTATGGACTTGGCCAGAGCCCATCACCTGGACATTATTTAATTAAAGCTTGCTTGCTTCAAATTTGGCTTTAAACTGTGGTAGTGGTCTTGCCATCATGAAGGAGCAGAGGATTGAATCGGAGCCCTCTCCAAGAGCAGCAAATGCTCTTAGCTGCCAAGCCATCTCTCTAGCCCAATTTTTAAAAACGAAAAAACAAAAACAAGCCAAAAAAAAAAAAAAACCCTAATAATCTAAAAACTTAAAACTAATTACTTGGAAGTGACGTAGTTGGATGGGCCTTGTGATTATATTTTGCACTCCAAGTTGCAAATGACTCATATCCCTTCGGGAAAGTAAGTTTGGAGACGTGTGAAAGAAAGCGTTGGAAATTTGGCGTGGGAAGAGGCCAAAAACGGAAGCAGGAGAGGCACTTTTGAGCCCCGAGAAAGTGTGCTTTGGCTGTGCTTTCGCTTGCAGCAGCAACCAAGCAGAGGCTGCCAGTAGGGGGCGCCTCAAGCTCGCTCATTGAGAAGTTCCAGATCAGGGAAACCACCGTGTCTTCTAGGTCAGTACACAATGTCCCTGAATCCCAGTTTGTGCTACCTAATGAAACAAACAGTAACTCTCCAGGAAACTGCGAGAGTCCCTCCCCACCTCTCCTAGAGAAGCCCTGACTAGAGCAAGCCCGTGGGCAGCGTCAGGTGAAGCGAGGGACAAACAGGTAGCCTGGTATGTGCATGAGAATAGAGAGGTGCAGGGTGTCCACTTCCCGGCCTCCCCTAGCTGAGTGACCACACTTTGGCCTGGTCTACCACACCCTGCATCTATCAGTAGGTAAAATGTGGGGTTGGAGTTGGCCAGGACAGAACGTGAAGTAGAAAAGGCTGACTGTGACCAAAAAGAGAAGGCATGTTGATAATAACAGCAATGGTCTGTGCCTTTTCTCTCCCTCCCTCATTGTGCTAGCCTGTTTATCTGGAAAGAAAAGTTTAATGGGGCAGGGAGTTGACAATGCTCGGTTCTGGGGAATGAAACTGTAGGAATTTTCACTTTCTTTTTGATTTCGCCGACTACCTGGTAGTTAGGGAACAGGGTGGGAAAAGCCCACTTTCCTGAGCATGCGCAGCAGAAATGGCTGGGGAGTGGACAGGGCTGGCCCCTGACCCTGAGGGTGGGTCTCTCTTTCTCTCTCTCTCTCTCTCTCCTTCTCCCTCCCT